TATATATATATATATATATACAGGGTGTATCAGAATGACATTTTAAAAATTTGGGGGATGTAGAGGATGAAATTTTGATATAAAGAACCCATAGCCAGAAATGTGATACAAAGTTTCTACAGCAGTAGGAAGTGCTTGATCGTCCTTCACTTTGGTAGTTACCCTTCTGTCCATTGACGTCGTGTTGTTGTTCTTGACTTCTTCCTCTGAGGTTATGTAAAGTCCCTTGTGTACGCAACATCTGTAGGAACAGTTCATGAGCTTACAGAGCGCATCTTTACAGCATTTAATACTATCAGAGCGGAGCGTGGCATCTTACAGAGAGTAAGACAAAACATGGATCGTCGTTGCACATTATGTAATGAAGTTGGTGGTTGTCACATTGAGCATTTACTCTAAATTAGTGCAGCCACTGATTCGATGTACAGTTTGATTGCACTCTACTGTTTTGTCAATAAAACTTGCCATAAATACTGTATTCTGCTGTTTCATTCAGCATACTGACTGCAAAGTGCAAAGTGCTGTAGAAACTTTATATCACATTTCCGGCTATGGGTTCTTTATGTCAAAACGTTCAAAATTTCATCCTCTACAATCCCCCAAATTTTTAAAATGTCATTCTGATACACCCTGTATAAGAACTAGTAAAATTAAATTCCATTTAATTTAAAAGTACTTTTAATTCTTTATTATTGTAACATACAACATAAAGATGGTATAATACACCTATTGTGTTACAAAAAGAATATCATTAAATTTATTGAATATATTAAATCAAAAATATATTAACTTTATTCCATTAGGTAAATTGTGTGTGTATAATAAAATTTAATCATCGGTTGTGTAATTTCTATTAATAATAAAGCAGCAAATACGGTCAACACAATCGTAACCTCTGTATTTTTGTCATTTGTAATATTTTAATTGACTCGACTTTGTCATTTAGATAACAAACAATAGAAATATATGTAAATTTAACAAATAAAACTTTGAAACGAAGGGGGTTCAAAAGGCGTCAGTCTGAAAATAATCGGCAAAAAAATAATAGAACGTAAATAATCGTTTCCGTGCTTAATATTAACTGATTGAAACAAAGTTGAATTTGCATTTGTAATTTAGATAATGCCTGGATGAACAATTTTTATGTAAAAATCCTTTCATATGAAAATGTACTTTTATGGCTTTAGATGTTTATCTTTGATTCCTATGAATAAGCATTTTATTATCTATATATATTTTTTTTTTTTTAAATTATGACATTAAATCTGTGTGTGAAATATTTACATTTAATCACTTTTTCTATAAATTTAAATACGCTAGAACTTCAGTATTTTTTGGATGTACATTATAATTGATTATAATTTTGGAGAGGTATTCAAAAAGACTGTTTTAGAGATTAACTCAAATGCAGTTTTTTAAAACGAAAGCAATTTTATTGGGATGTGCACACTCCTTTCATGTAAGTAGATAAAATGCACTTGGAGAATTTATTATCTTCCCTCTTTAGTTATTACTATTGACTATTATGGTATGGCTTTTAACAATAAATCCTCTCTAAATTTTAAATAGAATATAAAAACATTATGAATAAGCAATTTAATTTTTTAGAACCCTAAAAAGAAATGTTTAGAAAATGTAGAGAATTGGAATTTAGAGTTAATTGAATTTTATTACAAAAGTAACTGTTTTAAATTAATAATTACTCTACACAAGATGATGGAATTTCATTGTAAAGAATTATTGGCTCGAATGTAGTAGAGCTAATAATGGAAACATTTATATTATTTCTTATACTAACAAGAAGGATTATCTAACTACAGTAGACCCCCCCTATAACGCGGTAGATATGTTCCGCTTTATAAGAATTTCGCGTTGTAGGAATCCTTAAATACATGAGCCAGTCACAGCCCGACACGTGTGAAGTTTATGGACTACGGCTGTTTGAAAGGTTTTCTTCCATAAAATTAATCAGTTCTAGACTAATTCGATTCAATATTTCCAAAATACGTATAATTTTTTGGGAATAATCTGTATAAACTATGCTATAAACAAAAAATTGTAGGATTACTTACCGAGTGTGCACCATTCGACATCGCCATTGCTTAAGCTTGTTTTTGTCGTGGAGCAGTGCACCAAACAGCAGCCGTGATTTCTGATAAGTTATTTTTCTGTGAAAAAATTCGTTGAACTTTGGAGACATCATTAATAGAAATAATTTTTATGGCCGTTGAATAAGAAATGTTTCTTTCACAAGAAATGTATAAAATTACAGCGCTGTATTAGACTTACGATACCTAATTTACATACTGTACAGACGATAGTAAACTCAACTTACTCGCCTAAACTCTCCATAGCGTGGTGCTGGATGGCAGAAAGTATGTATATAATTATAATAAAGTTAAAATAAATTAAGTTAATATTGTACAGACGATAATAATACTGTACAGACAATAGTAAACTCAACTTATCCGTCTAAACTCTCCATGGCATGTAAGTAGTTCAGCTGCTCGTCTACTATTGGTCCAGATTTGACCAATCCTGTCGCAACATGAGTCGGCGATGACGTTTTACGCATCCCTTTTAGCGTCTTTATACGAATACTGTCGCAATTTTTTCGCAGTGTTATAGGAATCCACATTATAAGAACCCACGTTATAGGGGGGGTCTACTGTATATTCTTACAACATATAATAAATTTAAAATAACAGGGTGGCACATGAAAAAGCTGTGGTCCAACAACTATTGGTACTATTACAGAAAATGTTGAAAATGGTCATTCGTCACATCTGTGCATGTTGAATCTTGTTTAGAAATGCTTGGCATAATATGGTGATGTCAATGTTGACACTTGTATGACTGGCGATATTTCTCATTCCTGTGTTGTGTGATGTGATACGGCAATTTTTGCACAATGCATTTCTCTCAACTGATGCGGTTTACTCACTCTGTGCAATACACTAGGGCCAGAGACTCAAACTGGACTGGAGCTGCTGCCTTTTGCATCAACCTCTACTTGTAAAATAGCAAACATATTAGTATTGACTATAAAGTTTACATGTGTTTTTTGTTTTCTTATTTCTAATATCTTCCAGTTATTAAAAGTGATTCATTTGAATCTTTCATATTGTAAATATAAAGCATAATAATGTGAGAAAGTTCATTTGTTATAGCTCATACATACTAGAATATAATATAAAGAGCAACATATGTACAATGGAACTTGATCAAAAAATGGTCCTGAATGGATACCCAATTTGGAAATTTCAACTATGGAGTAGAGATTATGAACCCACAAAAAATATTAATAACCTTAGCACTAAATAAAAGTACACACAATGTTACTGTTGAAAATATTTTGAACCAGCTGAGCTCAACAATCTTAAATCAATCTTAAATACATAAAATTAATCTTAAATACATAAAATTAATTAACACTGTTATGAAAAAGTTGATTTTCTACAAAATATTGAATATTTGATTCAATTGCTTGATATAATTTAGATATTTAAATGTTAAGACGTTACTTGTAATAGTTTTTACATACAAGTATCTTATTTATTTTACTATGCAGTTAATAAGGCTAGAAATTAGTGAGAAAGGTTTTGTGCTGATAATCTTATTTATTTGTTATAGTATATTTTATTAATTTTTAAATTTGTTTATACACACTACTTACTTTATAAAATTGTTGATTTAGTCCTTGTAAGTTAATGCTAACTAAATTGAGTGTCTGCAAAATTTTAAATGTTTAGAAATTCAAATTTAATACTTCAAATATCCAAGACTCTAATTATAAAAGGTTTTCAAACTTTCAAAAATGATCAGGATATATATATCTTTTATCCAATTTGGATTTTATTCAAACTGTAAATGACTTATTTTTTTCTTCTTTCTTTAGAAAGGAATTTACACAGTAATTTTGGCAACTTTAGACAATGTCTGACGTTTTTAGATAAAATTTTAGATGCCATTGTTATAAATTCTTGACATTATTTTAAAAAAAGAAATTGTTACTCTTCACTCTCTCCTTCTATGACAAGTGAAATGAAAAGTGCAATCGGAGAAGAAATATAATAAGAGTGTGTTTTTGCATTATAAATCATTAACGAGATATTGCGTTACGACACGGTAAGAACTGAATCTATTTCCGTCGTAAAGGTTAATGGTGCATGACTTTGATTCAAAGGTTGCATGAATCAATGTCACCATCACAGCCTGTTCTTTTAATGGTTTTGTAAAACCTTGTGATTTATTTGTGAGTGGAGGAAGATTTCAATTTCTTCTATTTTTTAAATTGAGTGGTGTTTTTTTTTTTTTTAAATAAGTGTGACAGTGATATTTTATATTCTTTTTTACAAATAGTTAGTGACTTAATCGAAATGTCAAGTAAGTTGCTGATTTCTGCATTGCTATTAATTAAAATTGTAGGTGATTTTAAAGTCTTAGAATTTTTCCGTTTGCTTGACCACTCATTTGGATTGACGACAAAATAAATAAAAATTCTGTGAATTTAATTGGCCCAATAACAAATTACCATCACTAATAGGAATATTGATATATTCATTTAAGGTCAGGAAAAAGATTAATTTTTCTTTATTTATTTGCATTTTCTTAACAGCGCTTAATGAGTGTCCCTCAACATAACAATCTTCAGACAGTGGAAAGGGAGAAAATTTATCAGTGGATAATCGAACTTTCCAGCTCGGAAGCAAGGGAAAATGCTCTGCTCGAACTCAGGTGATTTACATTTTTTATGAAACGATAAATGTGGGGTTTGTAGTAAATCTTAAGTTTACGATTTTGTCCCACTCTAAATTTACTTTTTTTTTATTTATCTAACAAAATATATTTTTTAACATAGTAAAAAACGAGAAGTTGTACCTGAACTTGCACCTATGCTGTGGAACTCATTCGGAACAATTTCTGCTCTTTTACAAGAGATTATAAACATTTATCCGGCGATTAATCCTCCGACACTTACTGTAAGTAAAATGCATATGTATTTTATTACAATGTTAATAGCAATTTTTATATACATTTTTTTTCCTCTGATATTAAGGCTCATCAGTCCAATAGGGTATGTAATGCTTTAGCTTTGCTGCAGTGTGTTGCTTCCCATCCAGAAACTAGATCTGCTTTCTTACAAGGTATGATGCCAAATTAAAATATATTTTTAACTTGAGGAAATTCTAATGTAATTATATATTCACTTCCAGCTAATACACCCCTATTTCTATACCCATTCCTCCATACTGTTAGTAAAACTAGACCATTTGAATATCTACGATTAACTAGTCTTGGTGTGATTGGAGCATTAGTTAAGGTAAAAAATTATAATCAAATTATTTATTTCGGTGTTTCCTAATAAAATATCATTGTTCCCGAACATGTTTTAGACAGATAAAGACAATTTTGGTGTATTATAATTATAAACAATGTAAACGTTAAGCCAGGTTTCAAGAAAACCGTTTATGGATAGTGACAGATAATGAACAATGACACTAACGGAGAAGTCAGTTTGGAAAATATTGGTTAGAAGGCTTCAAATATATGTTTCAACAGAAGGCTTTTTCATTCCCATCGTAAATATTTTTATGATAGTTCTTAATAAAAGGAACAATGGTACAAAACATTGGGAATCACCAATCTAATACTTGCATATGATGATAATACAGATGGTGGTTTCATATTTTCAGACAGATGAACAAGAAGTGATTAATTTCCTTTTAACAACAGAGATTATTCCTTTGTGTTTAAGAATAATGGAATCCGGAAGTGAATTGTCAAAAACGGTAAAAATATTTACAGGTTGTGCCATTCGGTTGTAGCTTCATAGCATTTAAACTTTTTAATTTTTATCATAGGTTGCCACATTTATTCTTCAGAAAATATTGCTGGACGAAACCGGATTGTCATACATCTGTCAAACTTATGAACGATTCTCTCATGTGGCCATGATATTGGCAAGTTTACTAAAATGTTATTCTTTATTTTTATAAAATTTTTAATTCCAATATTTTCTAATCAGAAGATCGACAAATGTTCTATGATTGAGATTCATAAAGATTTAAAACTAGTTTTTTATAAATTTTTTGTTGTCTCTATCGTATTGAACATAGTTTATTCTTCTAGGGGAAAATGGTATTATCTCTTGCAAAGGAACAATCTGCACGCCTGTTAAAGCACGTCATTCGATGTTATCTCCGTCTATCTGACAATCCAAGGTAATTTACTCATTTTAACTAAAGAGTAATTAAATTCTCAAAACAATCTACTTTAATGTCATCCAAAATTGGCTTTGTCCAGAGATCTTTAGATCGATTTAGTAAAAAATTTAGTACAGGTAACCCCCATATAACACGGGAGTTACGTTTAAAAAAATTGCTGTGTTATGCAAATCCATGTGATACGAAACAAAGAACTAGTGTGAAAAGGGGGGTTTGGTTCCAAAAATTAAAAAGCATGCTGTTAAATCCTTATTTAAATCAGATTTATTATTCATTTTTTTCATAGGTAAAATACTTATTATTTAAGTAAATATTTTACCAGAGGATTATTCATTTTATATGATGATCTCAGCATGAACATCCTCAACTGGTAACAGTTTGTGGGTGCGTTCGTTAATAGCGGTCACTCTGCAACGGGAGTGCGCTGCTGTTTGTAGGCATTTAGGAATGATGGTGAAAGAAAGATGGCGGCGCCTGCACTATCGATAGTATCGCGTGGAGGAATCTATAATTCTTAAATGAGCTTTTAGAAACAAAAGAAGGGTCCAAATTGTATAATTTAACCATTAAATGGATTATTGCTGAAAGAGCATTCAAAGTAGCCACAAAATAATTGGAATGCTTGCACGGAGTTACGCGGAAGTATAAAAGAACGCACCCTTTATTACATTTCATGTTGTACAAGGGTTTTACCCAATTTCCGAATAGTGTTAGAATGAACCCGTGCTATAAAAGCACTGTTTTATACAGGGGATGTTCCTAATTCTTGAACCGTGTTAGAGTGAATCTGTGCTATAGAAGTGCCGTGTTATACGGGGGTTACCTGTATTCAGAAAGTTCTAAGAACTCAAATGTTTTAAATTTCCTTCCAAGAACATTGTTCCGTAATGCAAAGTTCTTGGAAAGATGGATTTGATTGGCTCTTAAGTACTTTGCTAGATCTGTATATTATTTTGCAGAGAGTTGGAGTTTTCTTGTGTTCTGCCAAAATAAACTTAATAATGAATTAATATACACAACTAACCTTGTACACCAGCATACAACTTTATATGACAGGTATTTTTGATCTTGCATCCTTACAGTTTATGTTGGTTTAACAGAGTAATATAAAACAGTAGTATGTGTTGTTTTACAAAATCAACATAATATTTAAACAATGGACTGTATAAAAACAACATGGAGCTTGAAATATTCACTTTACATAGCTTGAAGCCTTGTTTGAATATGTCAAATGTATTGTAATCTTTTACAATAATTTTAAATTATGTATTCATATATACATTGTATAAACACTTACATGATAGATTATATAAATTTTTAATGTTAGCACTATATTTTATTCTGTGAATCTATTATGGTGGTTTTCAACTCACGTTATACAGAACTTGGCTTTCCACAAACTTTCCTTAAGTGTTTTGCAAAATAAAAATATTTTAATGTATTCCGACATATTACTTTATTCATGGACAATTCCACATTTGCTATATTATTAGACTCAATAGTTTTGTTAGTTTATTGCCTTGCTGTTTTGCAAGAACATTAAATATTGAATTGCACATAGATCTTTGAATTTATTATGTGGAACATAATAAATTCAATTATTAGATCGAATATATATATAAGATTGAATATATATATATGATCTAAGAATGTCATTCTGTCACCTCAAAAAGTCGAGAACCACAAATCTACAAGATACCAGTCAACTAAATTTGTATGCCGGTATTTGTTGAATTTCACAAGGAATTTAAAGGTTAATATATACTATTTCCACTTTATTCTGTAGAGCCAGAGAGGCTCTTCGCCAGTGTCTGCCGGACCAATTAAAAGACAATACGTTTGCCAACTGTCTGAAAGACGACAAATCCACCAAACACTGGCTAAGCCAGCTTCTGAAGAACCTGGAGCCCGTTTCGGTCTCTCCGCGTCTTCCCTATCAGTCTACCCTACAGCAGCAGTAGGAACCAGGACTGCTGGTGACTTCTAATCTTGTGCGAAGAAAAGAAACATGTAAATAATCATTTTTAGTGTAAAATTTTTGACATAAAACAAACTTTGTATGGTTCATAAAAAGAAAAGTTATTATAATATTTATGTACTACTGTTACAATGTATAAATCATCGGGATAGATTCAGCTTTGTATATGCTTAACTATATTTTTTGGTATAAAAAAGAAAAAACTACAAGAGCTTTTCTTTTTAAAAAACAAAAATCGAAAAAAATATACACAAACATTATATATATATACATATATATATAGCTGAAGTAGTTTACTATTTTCCGTTATATTACGGCCGCATGTAATTAGTAAAATTGTATATTATATTGTTTTAAAAAAATTCGTACGAAAAATAAATGTTGATTAGTGAAAAACTAATTCTTGGTTTAATTTGTCAATATTTAAAAGCACTTGTCTCTTAGCGCCGAATTGCCCTCTAGTGGTCGATGAATAAAACTAAACACCAGTGGTCGTTCGTGGGTTCGCGCCTGGCCAAATGGAATTTTCCGGGTTTTCTTCACCTAAAAAAGGGCCAGTTTCTCGTAGTCTTTCCTCCGATGGTCCACGCGTCGTGTGCAAACCGCTGAATTTTCAAGTTGGCTTGTTACGTAACAGATGGCGCTGTATGACAAAATTGAAGTAATGAAATGGACCCGTGCCATTATTCTTGAAAATCGCTTTTCAAGAACAAATTGTTTAAAGCCATTTGTTACGGATAATGCTCAATTTAACGTAAGCGTTTTATATTACAGTGGAACCTCGATTATCTGGACTAATTGGGGATGAAGATAGTCCGGATAATCGAAAAAAATACTTTGTCTTTTAATAATAATGCAACACGTTTTCTTTTCGATGACATATCGGTAATATTAAAAGTAAATACTGTATTTAAATCGTGATCAAATTTTCGAGAAACAAACGTTCTTATTGAATTTGGACTACTACTGACCAACGCTAACAGACTACCTATTGTTTAAAAGGCCCTCTGGTGGCGCAAGAAGACGGATTTTATAAAATAAAAAGCAGTTGAAACTGCATTTTTATGAAAAAAAATTTGACAAACTATTTATCGTTTTATGACGAATAAAATTTTTTCGTCGCGTTCACGGCTTTTAAGTAATTCATAAACCTTCGAGGCGCGAGGCCCTTCGGACCGCGAGGCATAGGTGGTGGCCTACGTCGTCCATGCCTTACGCCGCCCTTGGTCATAGAAATAATGTAATTTGAATATAAATTATTTATAAATACGTATGTCAAGTTAAAATATATTTTACGTAGTAAAAAAATATGAGTTTACGACCACTGTGCTGGGTGAGACGTTGTTGAAACAAAAAAAATTATGCATTCCATCACGTACATAAACAGTGTCGTAATTCGCCAAGTGCAAATCAGCAAATTCGTAAAATTTTTGTTTATTTTGAACAATCCGGATAATGGAGGTTCTACTGTATTTTCAAATACATTTTTGAATATACATAATGTAATTTACATATTGTACGTTTTTTTATTGAGGAATAACTCACGTACAAACATCAATAAAAATACAAAATGCCCAGTATATTTATGAATAGAATATTCGGGAAGTATATTCATGTCTAAAACTGCAACAAGTAATGGAACGGAAACGTAAACCATAAAATGACCTTCGTTTTGTGTGCCCACTGGAGATATTTAAATTTCCAGCGCGCGCAATGAAAACTGGAATGCCTTCCCCAAGTTAATGGAGATTCTACATGGAGGCTAGAAATCGTACTGGTGTTTTAAAGTACAATACAAATTTTACTACTGCATTGTCCTTTGTTCTTTTGTTATTGAGGTGGTCCTTTCTTGTCCTGTTGGATATTACCTGTGACAACTGATAGATTTCCATAGCATGGTAGGGGGTCATTAGATATTTTCTTAGGACTCTTCCGTTTGCGAAAGATGTAGCTTTAAACAGTCCTTACAAATAAAGGAATTTTCATGTTATGTTCTAAGGATTATTATTTCACTCCTGTTCGCACGGGCAGTCACAAATGTCAACGTTTTCTGTGGCGCCATCTAGAGGATATTTCTTATTCCCATTAATACACGAAAAAATTTATTCGTGGAATAATTCAGCACCCGTGTTTTCGCGTGCAAACTCGGATATAACGATTTTTACATATTTAGAAATATCAGTCACGTACTTTTTTGCATAAAGACGAGATTATATTTATTCCTTGACATTTACAGAGGGGGGGTTAAAAGTTCTTGCAGCTTCGTATATGAAATACGAAAACTTTTGGAGGATCTATTCGTAAAATGAAACAATTTCAGAATAACGAGACAATTTTCTAGAATCACGCAAACGACTCCATTTTTGAACAGATGAAACGTTTTTTGTTCTCATAACAAACGAGAGAATAGCGTGAAGGTTAAAAAATACGAAAAAGGGTATATCGTTATTTGTATCATTTATACAAACTATTATTTAAAAATGTATTGTATTTTCCTCCAAATATTGTCTTTTAAAGGAACCGTTCGACTTCAATTTTTGAGATAAACAACGTATTAAACAATTGTTTTCCTTCTATCATCTTAAAATACAATTCCTTTATCCAACTTTCTATTGTTTTGTAGAATAAACACGTTCCTCAGAAGATAATACCTTTGTTATCCTTTGCTCGAAATCTCATTGTTTACAAGGAATCTCTCTTTTGTTCAAAATATAAGCTTCATAGGAGCATCCCTACTTGTTAATTATCATAAATTGCTCTCCTAGATGGGAATTTAAGTTAATTAATAAACAGTGTACTCCATTTTGCATGACGTCACAAGTCGTAAAATGGGGAAACGTCACGTTTTGGTGTTTAAAATAAAAACCAGGGGCCTGAGTATAAAAGTCGTTTATTTAAAATTTTTCAGACTAGTGAAACATTCATTATACATGTGTTTTTTTCAGACTAGATTTTTCCACATGTTGCATTTAAAACCTATTAATTATACGATTGCAACAATGCCGGAACTTGTTTAAATCTTGTAGCACAAACCATTTTTTTTATGATTACAATATAAGCTGACTAGTACAAATACAAAAAACAGGTGCAAAAAATTTCCATCGTCGCCTATCGGCTATTTACATAATAAATAAGAACAAAGTCGTGTGTGTGTGTATATANATCGGCTATTTACATAATAAATAAGAACAAAGTCGTGTGTGTGTATATATATATATATATATGCTGTAAATATATGTACAATGGGTAAATATATACAAATTACCAGTTTTTGTTTATATTTCCGCAACATGTTTACATAAAGAAATGGCTAGTGTTTGAAAATGAAAGGAAGAATTGCTTGAGATGATATAAAAAGGCACTCTTTAACTTGAAAAACTCACAACCGCGTTCGTCAGACAAGAAGTGCACTTGGAGGGACGGAGGAAATGTTCTTCTGTTTTTGAGCTTTTAAACAAACTTATCACAGATACACGCTATCTTATCCTATACCCCTTTTGAAAGGCGTCCTCCTACGAATCTTTAACCCCTTCCTATGTGGTCCCTGTTTCAGAATAGGGAACATGTATTTCTGCCTCTTACGGAGGTAATCTGTGTAGTTTAGTTCCGATCGTGTCAATGCAGCACACGTCGAGTTCGAATCTCGTTTTTGTTCGTAAGTGATGATATTGGCGCGTTTACTACGTTTGACGCAATGATTATACCAGGAAGATCTCTTTTCGTTCAGTAGCGCCACTTCTTCCGCTAGCGACGACGCACCGAATTTCGCAACTCTTTCCTCGAAACGTTGGAGAAAGTAGTTGTATAATAGTTGATCTTTCCAGTTTAATTTCCTCAATTTGTCGCGTACTTCGTCCGTTATATTGCTCGATTTTTTGCTTCGTGCGTTTACTTTAAATGCCACTACGTCGTCCAGATCCCAGCATAACAGGTGACGTAACAGCACTAGAGATTCGTCCATTCTTTCGGCTACCATCACCAAATCGAAGATTGCATCCAGGCTTTTAACGTAGGATTTAACGTGAGTGCTGTTGATGTTTCTGTGGGACTCGAACCCCAAATCGAAGAGCATCTGATTGGCTCCCACTCGACCGTAAACTCGCCTGTTTAATATACTGTGGCTCAATTTGTCTATGGCTTCTAATAATGTTTTCTTGTAAACATTGTTTAAATTGTAGTAGGAATAAAGGGACTCGTATAAGTCGACGGGATCTCTTACTATGGTGACGAATACGGTGTCGTTTGGCATTAGTAATTTCATTTCTTTATAATTAAATCTGGAATGATGAGTCAGGATGTTGTAAGTCACGTGATACCTGGATGGATCCGGGACCATAGTCCTCTTAAACGGAGCGGGATGTCCTAAATAGTTTCTACTAGCCGGAAGGACGAAAGTTAAATTGTGTAGGTCTCCGTATCTCATGAATATGTTCTGTATAGTTGAACTGGCACATTTATGAGTTTTCATGAAAACCACATTCGTTTTCGGTATGCACTTCATTGTTTCTATTTCGGGTTTTCTTAAATTTTGGAGATTTGGTGGAATAACTAAAGATCTGTAAAAGCACGTTGGATATTTAGTAAAATATAAAATCACAATTATTAAAAGTTATACTGAAGCAGCTAGTGTAAACAAACACGAGAATATAGAATAGCCCTCTTATACGGTTCAAGGATTTTAAACGAAAAACAAACACTTAAAAATAGGCGTTACTCATACAATTAACCTTTTATTTTTTGACAAAATATGATGGACGAGAGAGGGAAACAGTCTTGTATATTTAAATATTGTTGAAAATTCTTAAATTACAAAAATAAAAATTATACTTACATCATTTTAGAATTGAAAACTAATCCTAAGGCAGTGATAAGGCACAGAGGAACTAAAACAGTGGGTTTGCGATAACAATGATGAAAAGTTTTAACCCACATTCTAAACGCAAAATTGAAAGTCATCTCCGCATTCTTCCCTTATTGATCTGAAATGAAAGAAAAATGTAATTATGTAAAATATTGAACGCTCTCACTGTAACAAACGAGAGTGGGGGAAGGCAAAAAAGGAAAGGAACGTCTGGATGTGAGAGATAAAATAATCCACTTCCTAATATAAGAAGATATCGTGCCATTGCATCAAGGACACCAACGAACTCAATTGTTAAAAATGATACTGTAACAATAACGTATGTGCATGGAAAAATTAACAAATATTGAAAACTAAAGTACATTTCTACTCGCACATTTTAATGGCGAGTTAAGAAACGTCATAAAAAAAAAACAGACAGGATTCAGAGTGCGAGTAACTTTATTAAAATGCATGCAAACTTTAATCAACAGAGAATATTTTAAAAGAAATGCAAGTAAGAAAAATGGCATCTTGTAGTCACATTTTATCATCAGACAACGCACCGTACTTTTCGATTAATTCATAAATCTGTTATGTACTGATTAGCTGACATCTTAACAGCACTTTTCGGAGGAAAGTGATAAATCACGTTACGTCAGCATGATACGTTATATATGTACTATATATACATTTTTTAAAGGGGGAAGTTTCATTTAATTCATACGGTACGTGCTGGGATATGATCTTAACAAAGTAAATACGTATAATTGAAAATTACAATATCGTCACTCAAAACTGCAACCTTACAAAATCGATACAGTTTGTCCCTTCGGAAGCAAAATCGTTACAGACAAACACGTTTCGATTAGAGAAAATGGAACCCGCCACTGACTTTATATATAATTCCAGGTGATAAATTTCCTCTTATAATTACGTAAATCATACGAAACTGTATTTTTCCGAAGTGAGAGACAGATATATATATTCTATAAATAAGGATACATACTTTGATCGTGAGTGTGTATAGCTTGGTAGTACTGTGCAGCTTTGATGTTAGAATTTTAGCAGGAAACAGTCATTAGAGCTATTTAACTCCACTCATGCGACTTGAACTTCCGCAGAGAGTGATAGGAACTGGCCAGGATAGAAGTCAATGCACCGAAATTCATTTATTAAGGGTTGGTATCCATTAAGAAACGATGTGCATACGCTACAGTATGATTTATACTGTCCCGATAATGAAGAACTAACGATCACTTTAAATTTTAGGCTTTCTTCCCTTGTAATCTCATCCATATGTTAGCCATACCATGTGATTAATAACAGCTACATCATTTTTTACATCATAGATTTGTCGTCACTCGATATAATAAGAAAATAATTCACAGTGATCCTTCCAAGAAGAGGATTTTGAGAAGACTACAGATGTTCAATTTAACATTTTCTTCCTTCCATTGACGAAAAAAACGTGGAATTGAAATACAATTTTCTCGAATGGTTAAATATTTGTTGCTACATAAACAATAATAAATGAAGCTTATACATATAAACCACGATCGCACGATGATAAACTGGTTTAGTATTTATATTATTTAGACGAGATGATGATCGCAGGAATATAATATTTATATTTTATTAATTACCACTTATGCATGAGCTACGAAGGTTTGCCATATCTAACAGAATGAATACCACAGTACTAGATAATGCAATAAAAGGAGATATACAATTATGAGTGATAATGTGGATGTAAAATATATAAACTCATATGCGGATATACGCACGGACGAGTAAGAATTTATGAAAATAATAATTTTGTAAAGCAAAATAAGCAGAAAAATGACGTATTATCCATAGATTTAACGCTTAATTACGAATTTCATGTGCTGATGTGTCTGTAATAATACTATAATTCTATTTCTTAATTAAAGAATAATCGATAACTTACCAAATTCAATTACATGATTCCAGAATAATAGATTTACTTGTTCGATGCATTCACTCCTAGGAAACAAAAAATAAAAAATATGTATGTATATATATACGTATATATAAGAAAAGGCAGACAATTTTAAGCTTAAATAACAAGAATTTCTAGTGAAAAAGTAGATGAAGACGTCACGTGTTCAATTTGAAAATTGTTACTCTAAAATTATCGAATTATCTTCTGACAGATCAATATAATGGCGCCTTGGCTTGTTCAGAAATTTCTTTACACCCCCGTTTTTTTACCGTACCTAAAAATCGAGATTGAAATTCGATATTTTTTAAGTTCAGCACTTGACAAAAGAGATGTTCTGGAATAACAATTTCTGTTGATGCTGACCAAAAGTGGTTTTGTTTTACAATTACAGACTAATCCCATGTCTAAATAATGATATAAATTAATTTTAAATGTATAACCTCAGCTTGAAAATCTGCTAATCCGATTAAATTTTCTTTTACTTTTATTTAATTTAAAAGTTTTTATCTTAATAAATTAATAGTTTTAATTAAAAAATAATAAATACCATACCTTATAATTTTATTAGAAAACTGAATAGAGAAGTAAATTCAAATTTACTATTCCATTCTTTTAAAAATTCTAATTTAAATATGTTCTTTGTTACACGAATAATTTGTGTATAAACATAAAAAATATTGTCGATAATAACGTAAATAATGTATAACGAATACATATTTGTATATAAAAATTGCACAATTCTGTCTTATCACACTGACATTATTTATCTTCAACGTCATCGATACTTTATATTAAAAGGGAAAAAAACGATTTGTTATAAGGATTAAGGACACAAATTTGATTGCACTAAGGATAAATAAACTGTATAAGCGAAGCTTTAAAGAGTGGAAAATTGTACGATTCGAAAATCATCGTCATCATCATGAGAGACGATGCATGCCAATGTGTTTATTAGTAATCCACTTGTGTTAAAGATCTTATAAATTATATGGAGTATATGCTGAATCACTACAGTTTCGAAATCTGTTGTGTAAGAAAAAATGATCTGTAAAAGAACTAATGAATGGATAGGAAGTGATTTTCGAACGTCTAGTTTCCTTTTTAAATATGTTTGTAATTATTATTCTGGTTTGTAATAATCATTATTTGCTTCATTCAAACTGGCAGACTAATTAGTCAAAGGCAGCTGTTTGGTATGAGTCTTTTTAGCACGATTCATTTAGCAAATGAGAGCTTGTGAGTGATTATAATAGTTCATATGTAATTATCATCTGTTTCATTTAACTTGAAGAAACAAAACAAAAACAAATTGTATCAATCATAATTAATGTTTGAGTTATAATTTACAATAAGTTCATATAGATCATGTAATTGCTATTAAATTATTCTGATAATTATTTCGGTGGTTTGGTGTACGTCGCATCCACACTCTTCAGTGGTGCGCAAACTATTTTAATTTCCGACCCCCATTTTGTATAAAATTTTGTCACGACCCCTGGATAGACAGTAGACGTTCACTGTGCTGGGCAAGTTCAACAGTAAAGTTACAGAAACACATGCGTGTTTCAACGTGTTTCTGTTGCAGCGTGTTCTGTTTCTGTTGCCGCAACGTCATCAGTTTCACTGTGTCTGTTCGCCTGCTGACTGCCGAAGTATAAGTATTAGGCACTAATACAGACAATTGTTTTCGTAAAAAAATATAGTTCTTATAAATAGTTTCTTATAGTTTTTATAAATAGTATAATTTCATTTCACTATTTTACTGGTACCTGATATTTGTTGAGGAAAAGCCTTATAATTTTTATTGTTAAATAAATTTCTTTGAAATTAACGATCCCCCCGAAAAATTTTCTCGCGATCCACGGGTTGCGCACCACTACACTATTTTAGAGGACTAATTTGTTAATTTTATCATCTAGAACTCCAGACGTTACAAATTAACGTATGAAGTTTGTTCTTCCAAGAATAATTTTTTACTGTTTAAAAAAAATATATGCGGAGGATGAAACTATAGGAATTTCTCATGTGGTTTCAGTTAATTTCTGGAATTATATGAAAAATTAAATTTTATCGTGTAGCTATAAAAAATGTTTTAAAATCTATAATGCAGTTTAAAGTGTAATTTTAAGTGCCTAAACAAAGTTCAGAATAAATTTCAGTTTATATAGGCTAAATGTAGTTTATAAAAAATATCAACTATTTATTAATGTATATCTAGGCAAACATTCATATCGCGTGAGTAAAATGTTTTCTAAAGAATTAAAATGTTATAATTTTGCATATGAATAATCAAATTTATATACTTTCGAATTAGATATTATAGAGAAATTGTAGAATCTATAATACGTTCTTTAAGAGTTTAAAAAAGTAAATGTCAAGTAAATTATTCATCAATTTGTCATATAAACTATACGTGATCGTTTACAAAAATTATAATACAGCTAAAAAAAACTTTGTAAGACGAAAAAAAAATAATAAATTATCTAAAACTTTCTAGAAGTAGAAATAAAATATTACAGTTTACATTCCACAAGTATATCAAGATAAGCGAAAATTTATTATTTCAGAAGGCTCGAAGATCCGTTAGAGTTTAGTGGATTTTACTGGAAATTTTACTTTAAAAACATGTAAAATTTTAAGTGTTCTCATTTAAAATCTAACTAATTCTAGCCTAGAAACCATTTTTAATCACGTTATTAGGGTGGAGTTGTGGAAAACATTTAACAGAAATTCCCTTAATATCCGTTTAATTGCGTTTAAAGAATCCATTTTCATGGAACTATTTAGAAAGCAATACTAAAATTGTCGTACTAAAAATTTAACGGTAAACGACTAAGTTATAAATGAAAAAAAAAAAATTGCAGACCACTAATTCCAGACACTTTATTACTCGAGTGTTTTAAACTTAAGCTGTTAATGTTCGAATATTATCTCCCCTAAATTAGTGGATCCAGATAAAACTAGGTGAAAAAAAAAAATTGGAGAATTCTCATCTCTGCGCAACCCAAATACCAACACAAGAAGATTTGATAAAGCAGCCATCATGTATCGAACAATTTTCTCTCCCATCTACCCCTGACCCTTTAAAATGTCTTAGGTCCTAGTAATACGAGAACACTTACCAGAACGGATGTGAACGGACACTTCATGGTCTTAGATACATTTATACGCCTCTGATCCAGTCCAGTCTCGCACGTGCTTACTGACTACCCTGTCTTTCCTCATTTACTACACAACCAATTCAAAGCGCATGTGCACGGTAGATATCGACTGGAGACATCTGTCGAGGGAGAACTGTAAGAATATACAAAAATCATTGGTTAGAAAAACATAAGATACTTAAATATATTACAATTTATGCAATATTCTAACGATATTTTATCTTTAAATAAACATAAATTCGTTCACTATCAATGAGAAATAATGTCGGAGATAAACACAAGCATAAATCAAAGTTAAACATATTAATAAAAAGTTCCTGGCATTACTAAACAATTTTCTTTTTGTATTACTAGAATTAGTCATATATAAATATACGTATATTAATTTATTTTATGATGTATTTCTAAAATGTCTGGGAATTTACAAGCGAATAAAGGAGTTATTATGTCTAATAAATTAATTTGTGGACTGTATAAATGTAGTTAAAATGGATAATATGAATTAACTTAATTCGCATCATTAAATGGATTTTTTAAATTAATATTATCAAGTACCAAGTTCGTAATTAAAATATTTAGTTTATACATAATCCCTGGACTATATAATAGTCTTATACACGATCAATCTTACATATTCTACAGTGTAGAGTCTCATCCTTTTAAATTAATTATTATTTAGTGGAAGGAAAGGGCCTCTTGTACACTACAGTTTAAGGCGATGACACAAATCCGGCTCTGGTTTTAAGTATATTTAATAGGATAATTCATGAAAAATCAAATTTTTAAATTATGGAAATAATTTTAGAAGTTTGTTCGCTATAAATAATAACAGAAAATTAATTAAAAATTAATTTAATCCAATCTGATCTGTTGGCATGATGTATATATAGGCTATAACTACTGTAGAATTTATAGCATCCTCATCTCTCTATATTACATTCTACTATTGATTGATTTTATGCTTTGCTATTTTAAATATGTGAATTATCTAAATATTTTCTGTCGTAAAAATTAGTTATTTCATGTAAATTATTTAAAATGTTCTTTTAAAATGTATATATTATATAAATTGCACAAATTTGTTAAGTGTCTGAGAATCTGATACAATTTTTCTTCTGAATAATTTCATTTTAGTTGAACGTTTGTATCTATATTTAAATATATTTTAAACAATTCTATTTTATAAGATATACCTTAACTACTTGACAAATGTGCAAATATTTTATTTAAAATTTAGGAGAAAAATAAAATCTTTTTACTAAGGATTATACAAAAACATCGATTTCGAGAATATTTCATCCAAGTCAGATAATAATTTTAAGATAAAATGACTACAGATTAATTTTTTAGAGCCTTAAGAATTTAATTTCCTGCCAGATTTTAGAGTCACTTTAAAATATTTGAAATTAAAAACGAAATCTTAAACCTTCTGTTAATATTAAATTTTAATTAATGCTTAAACAGTAACAAAGAATTTCGTTTTTTTGCAAAAATATTCAAATTTATTCCAACCAACTGAATAAAATAAAAAAGATTTTTGACTTATATTTAAATTATGAATTGTTCTGTCAAGAATTAATTTCTTTTTTTTTTAAGTAGACTAATGTTTCCTCCCTTTCGATGCCTGTAATGTTGGCTTTTTCTTAAAGCATAAATGCAGCTCCACGGAGATGATAATATTGGTATCTAGTATATCACGATCAAAATTAATTATGATAAATATTTTATGTGCGACTAGAATATTTTTACGTGATGTGTAACATGTAAACTCGCTTCAATGATTTGTTTGACATTGGTTTCTATGGAGAGAGAAAGATATTTTGACGGTTCAAGATCTTTTATATGTCACTAGAAGTCACAAAAGTGTATTTATTTAATAAATTAATTTAAAAATATCTTTAAACTTTTAAGTAATTAAACTATAATCGAAACATAATATAATTATAAAGCAATTTAATTAACCAGTTATAATTTGCTCGAACAGAATTTTGATGAGGTCGATTTTAGGATTTTATTATTTATTAAATATTTTATTTATTATTTAAATAATTTTATGATAAATTAATTGCAGATTTTGCCTATTGAAACCGAACTTAAAATTATAATAAAAAAACAATTAGGGGAGAACCGGGGCAACTTCGGCATGCGGGGCAAGTTTGTCAAGCGCTTTTTTTTTAAAACAAATTAAAAGGAGACTTTGGTTATAGGTTAGGCAGTTGAGTTTTATTGGTGGCTTGTTGAGTGTAGTGTTTTTATTGTTCTCCAACAAGCGTAGTTGAATTATCAAGCAAATTTTCATTTTCGTTNCGGTGTTTACTTACACACCTCAGATTATTATTTAATTATCTGAGACACGTGTACAGTTAATTATTTTTCATATGAACAACACTAATATACTTCAACTGAAAAGAGATAATAACTTTTATCTCAATAATAAATTGTTGAGATTTAATGAAATCCTCTTTCGAGTGGGTTCAATTTCATGTGCATTTCTGCACATTTATTTGGTGTAACATGCTTACATTTACTAAAAATGAGGAAAGTTGGATAGATTTTTTCAGTGGTTTTCATGCGATGATATTAAAATTAAATCTATATGATCTAATGGAAGTTTCATTCACATAGTGTGAAAAATTTACAACCTAGAAAATGCTAACTACTTATGTATTTTACAATTTTAATGTTAAGTAAATATCCATTAAGTTTTTGACTTACTTTTATCGTCGAAACCACAACCTTTCCTTTGTAAATTTCAAAAATGAAAGCTGTAAACGGGAACTTCCTTTCATTTTGACCTTCAAAAATGTTATGTTATGGATAATTAACTTATAATTTAATCTATAATGCAGATAATTAGGTAATTAACACAAAAACAACGTTACATTTTAAGTGTAAAACTTTCACAAAATGTAAATAGAAAGTATTTAAAGTCAAAACATTGGATGAAAACGGAAAGTGTTGACGTCTTAATAAGAAAAATATATATATATCGGTCTCCCCTACTATTATATTATTTAAGTTTGTGACAAGTATTTAAATTCTAGAGATAAAATGGAATGTGTATAACTTATTGTGTTTATTGTGGGAGCTCTACAATTAGGGTGGAGCATCCTGACCTCGAGGGGACGATACGAATAGGGTGAAGTGTATAGGAAGTGATTAAGTGGGATGTAAACATGTAACCAACATTTGAGCTATAATAGAGAAGTCAACGTTATGTTTATGCTACACAGCATCGTTAAAATGTATATTTGACAATATATTACACTAGAAAACTAAATTATGAAGGTTTATTCTGTTATAAAAAGGAAAAATAAACAAATAAATTTAAACTGAAGTCTACAGAAAAATACTGCTTCAGTACATTAGTAAAATTAAAGAATAGTTCTACAGAAAATTGATTTCAATTTTAAGAGTTATGTTTTTCGGGTGGAGTCTGAAAAACACTAAGCACGAAAAGCAAAATTTTATGCTACTGTATAAGAAAAATACGTAGCTCCAAAAAAAGATATGTTGTAACGAAATAACTCTAACGTGTCGAATAGGGTGGAACGAAACGAAATATCTTCGTTAATGTCACTAGAATTCTCTGAGGGAATGAGAAATTTGCATTTAAATGCATTCCCTTCTATAAAAGTAATTATTTCTATTATTGTAAGCACAATATCAAGTTGTTTCAAATATCAATTGAATTCACATCCTTCAATAAACATATAAACGAAAAAGAAAAAAAGTTGTTTGAAAGACTTACGTGAAATGTTATTAAGAAAGTTTAATCAATCCTTTGTATTATAAGAATGGTTACAAATGAATATTGATCGATATAGTTCGGTACAATTGTCCACTTTTATTAAACAAATGAAACTTACAAACTCTCGAGTTTGCAAGTTTTGTTTGTTTAATAAAAATTCAATCTCGATTCTCTAATCTGTTTTTGCCAAGTTACTTAACTTGGCAAAAACAATGTTGATGTTGATAGAAAAGTTATAGAATTATTTCAAATAAAATTTCCTGTTATTATTATAAATAAGAAACTTATAAAAGGTCGTTTATAAGCAATCTATTTGTATAAATGATTCTTAAATATTATATTGCCCATTCAAACTTTCTTAATTATTTTAATCCATAAGAAACAAACTTGTCAATTGTTTACAAACTGGGAAAGTAGGGGAGACCGGGGCAAGATCGGCATGTTAAGCTTTACTTAAATTTTGTGTAATAAATACTGCTGTAAACTGAAAAAAAAGCTTTGCCGTATTGTCTATTGGAATGTTACCTTACTATAGAACTGGTTAAAATCAGTTTGGAAATAAAAATAATTAAAATAAGATTTACCTATAAAATTCCTCGTGTTAAATTAATAAAGAAAGTGTAGACTTGTATCAGGCACAGGCTTAGTTAGTTACAGTACAAATTTATCAGGTTCAATTACTTCCAAATCAATAAGTTATCAGTTTGTCTTCTTTATCAAGATTTTCAAAATCCAATCTGTCCTTTCTTTCTACGGATGAAAAAAAAGAGAAAAATTCATGTCTTCAATTGATTTCTATCTTAACAAATGTGTCATCTTTTGTTCTCTTATATTCAACCTGTCAAGAAGAATCATGTCATTAGTCTCATGCTGTTTTTTTCGTAGTGAAATTTTTTGTAATATAACAAAAATTTTTCTGATATGTTTGAGGAGAGTTAAACTAATGATTTTTGTCGTGACAGAATAAATTCAGACAAAAATTTCATTTAAAAAATAAAAAAGAAAAATCCCTATTAAAAATGTAGAAGTTTTAATTAGTTAAATAATGGTTTAGAAAATTGAAAAGAATTGAAAATGTTAGGATAATGATAATTATTTTTCATAAATATTTTAATATAACAACAAGAAAATTTATTCCGGCATAAATTTTATTTTTATTATAAAAATAATAATAGCAACAATAAAAATGAGACAATTTTAACTACTCGATTATAGAAAATATTAAATTTTAAATGTTTTCAGATATTTTATTTAGTCTATAGTTATTTGTTATTTATTTTTTGAAATTCATATAAATATTGTAAAACAGCTAATTATAGTCACTAATTCTCTCATATTTCCTAAATTATTCAAAATAATTTTAAATAAATTAGAGAAAATACAGAACAAAATAATTAATAATTAAGTCATTTTAATCATATTAATAGTTCTATTATTTTTAGTTTCCCGGCTGTTATGCTGTATATAACAGAGGGAAAGTATGGCGATCGATCAAAACATGCCCCCGCAAGATTTTTACATTTATTTATTTATTTTTTTTTTTTTTTTGATGGTCATCATTTCCCTATACAGGGATCAGAGTCACCCTTGTCCCGCAAATAGCACCACAAGGGGGAACGCTTTCTTTATTCATAAATCATAATTTACATTAAGTCAATTTAAACAATAAAAAGAAATAGGTAAAACATGTATAATCGCAATGCAGCTTGCCATTACAATTATTGCGGCCACTTGCCGCTTGATAGAGTGGGAGCAACTCGCTCCTCAACTCTTTGACAGTATACTTCGCGTAAAGTTCTTTAGATCTTGGATAATATCCTTATTCCGGATCAGCATGTATAGATCTGTACAGTCTGTATTAAATGTCTGTGCAGCAACTAGGTGTAATTGCATCCTTTCATTTTCATACTTAATGCATGTTGTCAGTAGATGCTCAAGGCTCTCNACCTCCCTCCAGAAGATTTTTGCATTTTTGAACGTGGGGACCTTGAAATATCGAGAAGTGCAAAAAAATTGAGCGTTTTTTTCCTGTGTGTATGGAAGTTAGTGTGTGTGAGGGATACGATATTGTTCACCCTCTAAAGCTCAATAACTCTTGTGCCTTTTGTCAAAAGTTTTTGTAAGTTTATAAAAAGATTTGGGTATTAGGGGATCGATGCTATTAAATTTTAGGAGTTAAAGGTCAAAGCAGTGGAGACTTAGAGGGTTCACGTGTCATATCTCGAATGGAATCGGACTAAATAAAGGTTTTACTCGTCATTGGCTTTTTTTTTTTTTTAATAAAACTCATCTCTAACCTCAAAATTAAGCTTTTTGCTGGGAAAGTTACGCGACTTGTTGCTGGATTTTTTTCTTAGGATTGAAATTCGTTGAAAAACTTAACGTTGAAAAAATATATATATAAAATTTAAAAAAATAGGAGAAGTTTGTATTTCTTATAACTATTAACCTACAAACACTAAATATCAGAATAATGTTGCATCGGTTTTTACAAATGTGTTATTTAAAGAGATTAATGTGAAAATGCTAAAAAAAAGTCGAAGTAGAAAGTAATGGATGATAGAATTATTTTTTTGACCTTCTAATCTGAGTTTTAAAAAATATTACACTCAAAAACTGATTAAATTATTAAAGATATGACAATTTAAAAGCACAAAATACTATTTAATGCTTCCAGAAACTAGTTTAAAGGTAAAAATTCCTCATTACCTTAAATTTTTAAATTAATATAATTGCATTTATTAAATGTTTAATCTGTAGTCCTAGAGCATACAAGAGGCAAAATGAAATTACTCTCATTTGTGAAATAAATATCTATATTCATAAATTATACATTTCTCTAGTAACGTCTACAATTAATGCGCAATAATTTAAAAACTCTCTGTAAAAAATTGTGATTTTTGTTTAAGTATTGAAAGAAATACACGTAGAGTGGCCCAAAAATCGGTTAACCAGAGTTATTTTAGCATTAATTTTGGTTAAAATCAGCTTTTAACAGCTGCATGTTATCATTCGTGATTAATTTACCTTCCAATGAAGAGAAGCAAATGGATCACGAATGTGCCATTCTGTATGTATTTGAAATAAATTGTGGGAATTATACAAGGAAAATTATCTAAATTATATAAAAATAAATGTTAAACTTATTATTTTAGAAAATTTTAAAGTATTTTTCGTGGTTGGACAGCGTATAATACAATAAAATATAAAGCCCTACAACTGGAAAGAAGAATATGAAGAAAAAATGAAACTCAAATATAATGTAATGCCCATAGCAATTACTTTCTTGGCCGTTATATGTAACAGAGGGAAAGTATGACGATCGATCAAAGAATGACCTCCCTCCAGAAGATTTTTGCATTTTTGAACGTGGGGACCTTGAAATATCGAGAAGTGCAAAAAAATTGAGCGTTTTTTTCCTGTGTGTATGGAAGTTAGTGTGTGTGAGGGATACGATATTGTTCACCCTCTAAAGCTCAATAACTCTTGTGCCTTTTGTCAAAAGTTTTTGTAAGTTTATAAAAAGATTTGGGTATTAGGGGATCGATGCTATTAAATTTTAGGAGTTAAAGGTCAAAGCAGTGGAGACTTAGAGGGTTCACGTGTCATATCTCGAATGGAATCGGACTAAATAAAGGTTTTACTCGTCATTGGCTTTTTTTTTTTTTTTTTTTAATAAAACTCATCTCTAACCTCAAAATTAAGCTTTTTGCTGGGAAAGTTACGCGACTTGTTGCTGGATTTTTTTCTTAGGATTGAAATTCGTTGAAAAACTTAACGTTGAAAAAATATATATATAAAATTTAAAAAAATAGGAGAAGTTTGTATTTCTTATAACTATTAACCTACAAACACTAAATATCAGAATAATGTTNTCAACAAGCCACCAATAAAACTCAACTGCCTAACCTATAACCAAAGTCTCCTTTTAATTTGTTTTTAAAAAAAAGCGCTTGACAAACTTGCCCCGCATGCCGAAGTTGCCCCGGTCTCCCCTATATCAATTTTTAATTTAAAAATTCAAGTAAAATTTGTCATCGTTTTGATAAATAAGTTAACTGTTACTCGATTTAAAGTACAGTACCTGTTCAAAGAATTTAATTAATAATAGAAACGTTTTCAATCACATTACGGCCATCTTTGGCTAAACAATCACGTAAAATTGCTTACACTGTGACAAATTCGAACATCGTGACTGTTTGAAGCAATTTTGTGTAATTGTTAGTTGAAACTATGAGTAATCCAGGTGCAAACTTAAAGTTTTTTTTAAATTGATTTTTTAATTGAGTAATATTTTGTCATTTACCTATTAAAATTTGATATTCGTTAAGTCGAGTGCATATTTGAGACTCGTAATATTAATTGGACTATGGAAGTGCCATAGCAATTATTAGTTTTGTTACATATTTCGAAACTTCGGTGTTTACTTACACACCTCAGATTATTATTTAATTATCTGAGACACGTGTACAGTTAATTATTTTTCATATGAACAACACTAATATACTTCAACTGAAAAGAGATAATAACTTTTATCTCAATAATAAATTGTTGAGATTTAATGAAATCCTCTTTCGAGTGGGTTCAATTTCATGTGCATTTCTGCACATTTATTTGGTGTAACATGCTTACATTTACTAAAAATGAGGAAAGTTGGATAGATTTTTTCAGTGGTTTTCATGCGATGATATTAAAATTAAATCTATATGATCTAATGGAAGTTTCATTCACATAGTGTGAAAAATTTACAACCTAGAAAATGCTAACTACTTATGTATTTTACAATTTTAATGTTAAGTAAATATCCATTAAGTTTTTGACTTACTTTTATCGTCGAAACCACAACCTTTCCTTTGTAAATTTCAAAAATGAAAGCTGTAAACGGGAACTTCCTTTCATTTTGACCTTCAAAAATGTTATGTTATGGATAATTAACTTATAATTTAATCTATAATGCAGATAATTAGGTAATTAACACAAAAACAACGTTACATTTTAAGTGTAAAACTTTCACAAAATGTAAATAGAAAGTATTTAAAGTCAAAACATTGGATGAAAACGGAAAGTGTTGACGTCTTAATAAGAAAAATATATATATATCGCAAAATTCAAATAATCTATATAAATTTTTAATCGAAAGCTTAATAAGATAAAAAGGGGCGAAATCATTGTTCTATGACCAATACAATCGTTATGATCAGTCTAAACATACCCTATTCAAGGACGATTGAATTCTGTTTCTCCTCCCATTATTGGCTTGGACGTAATTCCCATTCTACGTTCTAATTATCTTTTCCATAAAATTAACCTGTTAAATATTAAAAGAAAATTTAATATTGTTCTACTTAAAAGTAATTTAAGTAGTAATTTCATAGATTAAAATATACATGTTTTTTTTAATAGAATATTTGATTAATAGATTAAATTTTTATATATTCTTACTTTAAAAAATGAAATTATAATAATATATATTGATTGATTTAGAATTTTATAAACATTTTAAGCTTTTAATAAATGATACAACGTAAATAAAATACCATTCTGTCATAAAAATAATGCTTTTATCGAGAAAAATCCTTGAATTTTTTTAAAAATCTTTATAATACTACAATTATTTACAACTATTTTATCTACCGGAAGTAATCTAATCTGAGTTTTAAAAAATATTACACTCAAAAACTGATTAAATTATTAAAGATATGACAATTTAAAAGCACAAAATACTATTTAATGCTTCCAGAAACTAGTTTAAAGGTAAAAATTCCTCATTACCTTAAATTTTTAAATTAATATAATTGCATTTATTAAATGTTTAATCTGTAGTCCTAGAGCATACAAGAGGCAAAATGAAATTACTCTCATTTGTGAAATAAATATCTATATTCATAAATTATACATTTCTCTAGTAACGTCTACAATTAATGCGCAATAATTTAAAAACTCTCTGTAAAAAATTGTGATTTTTGTTTAAGTATTGAAAGAAATACACGTAGAGTGGCCCAAAAATCGGTTAACCAGAGTTATTTTAGCATTAATTTTGGTTAAAATCAGCTTTTAACAGCTGCATGTTATCATTCGTGATTAATTTACCTTCCAATGAAGAGAAGCAAATGGATCACGAATGTGCCATTCTGTATGTATTTGAAATAAATTGTGGGAATTATACAAGGAAAATTATCTAAATTATATAAAAATAAATGTTAAACTTATTATTTTAGAAAATTTTAAAGTATTTTTCGTGGTTGGACAGCGTATAATACAATAAAATATAAAGCCCTACAACTGGAAAGAAGAATATGAAGAAAAAATGAAACTCAAATATAATGTAATGCCCATAGCAATTACTTTCTTGGCCGTTATATGTAACAGAGGGAAAGTATGACGATCGATCAAAGAATGACCTCCCTCCAGAAGATTTTTGCATTTTTGAACGTGGGGACCTTGAAATATCGAGAAGTGCAAAAAAATTGAGCGTTTTTTTCCTGTGTGTATGGAAGTTAGTGTGTGTGAGGGATACGATATTGTTCACCCTCTAAAGCTCAATAACTCTTGTGCCTTTTGTCAAAAGTTTTTGTAAGTTTATAAAAAGATTTGGGTATTAGGGGATCGATGCTATTAAATNTCCTCGTGTTAAATTAATAAAGAAAGTGTAGACTTGTATCAGGCACAGGCTTAGTTAGTTACAGTACAAATTTATCAGGTTCAATTACTTCCAAATCAATAAGTTATCAGTTTGTCTTCTTTATCAAGATTTTCAAAATCCAATCTGTCCTTTCTTTCTACGGATGAAAAAAAAGAGAAAAATTCATGTCTTCAATTGATTTCTATCTTAACAAATGTGTCATCTTTTGTTCTCTTATATTCAACCTGTCAAGAAGAATCATGTCATTAGTCTCATGCTGTTTTTTTCGTAGTGAAATTTTTTGTAATATAACAAAAATTTTTCTGATATGTTTGAGGAGAGTTAAACTAATGATTTTTGTCGTGACAGAATAAATTCAGACAAAAATTTCATTTAAAAAATAAAACTTTGTAGTTCCATGTATTTCAAGCGAATGGATATAGAATCAATCATAATTTTTTCTCTCTTTTTTTCATGAAGTTGAATAGCAATTCTTGAATTCTTAATAATATTGTTATGTCTAGATAGTTGTATGTAATAAAATTTTATTACGCATATATTTTTTAATCTGATAATAAGCTGTATAATATTATTATATACAGTTTCTATGTCCACTCGATCAAATTGGATAGATGTTTATTAAAACAATATTATAATAAACGCCCAGTTTTATTACTTTTAATCTGATGGTATCATATTTTAAATACAGTAATTCTTTCACGGTGTGAACTATAGTAATCCGTCATAAGCATAGTCTAAATATGTACAAACGTTAGGAAATTAAATGATATCTATCTTTACTTTTCTTCCTCTGATAAATATATTTTCATCGATTGAAAATACAATTTATAATGTTTATTTCTATTGTTTATTGATCGCTGTAAATAATGCAGGCAATATATCATCTTCAAATAATTCCGGTCGGTATGAAAGAAACAAGCATCTCTATATATTTCATGCATGTCTTACTTTTCTTCGTGTTTCTCAATGCTGTCTCATTTGATTGACTGAATCATTTAGCCTTGAAAACTTTGGATACGTTCTGTCATGCGAATATGGAGCAACTCCAATAAAAAAAAGAAGAAAAATAGAAATCTATACTTAAATACCACAAATTTGAAACCTTAAAACTGCGTAGAAGATCTTTGATGTATTTAGATAAAGACAGATATACAGCGGGGCCGTTGAGAGGGGAAGCTAGGAGAAAACTTAGCGGCCCTTAGTGGGTCCTACCCTTATAAATTAACCTTATTTTTATTAAAAAATTAATATCTTTAAGATTGCTTTTTATTAATAAAGAAAGTCTACTTATTTCATTCGTTCAAAAAAACGAATCAATTCTATCCCGCTCTCAAAAAAGGGGCTCGCTCTAGAAGGGTATAGACCAGGATATACAGAAATATTTCATTATGCTAATTAAAAGAAAAAATTATAGTAAAATTCTGTCCTAAAATGTAGGCTAAATTATAAAATAAGTTTGTGAACTGATCGACTCCTAACAGAGGAACTAGAAGAGCAATTTGGCGTAAGAAGGCCTCCTAGTGGTCAAATTAAGTCATTTTTGATCTCTGATAGTCCTTTTAACACACCAAACTTATTTCCAAAGATGAAAATTATACGAATTTATAAAATGAGCCTTAATTAAAGTAATTAAGATATAAATATAGCTATAAAATAGTTTATTTTGGCACTTTGAAAAAATCAATATTAAAAAATTTTATTATTAAATTTTGAATATTTGAAAATTTTGAACTCGTAGGAAAAATTGTCCCGCATCAAAACATGAAAAATATTTTCACATATTTAATGCGGGCCGAATGTCATGGGGATAACGAATGCATTTAGCAAGGAATTTACGACGGACAAAAATAATTAAAAATTAATCTGCATACTGACCTAATTTTATTCAACAGCTGATAATATTAATACTAATAACTTTACTATGTAAATAAACTTTTTATTGTATAAATTGGAGTATATTTGCTCTTGTGAAAGATCTTGTGTACATTATTATGTTTATTCATACGCAAGTTTTCATGTAATATAACATTATAACTATAAAAAATAATAATAATACTTTAAAATAATTAAAATAAGATTTACCTATAAAATTCCTCGTGTTAAATTAATAAAGAAAGTGTAGACTTGTATCAGGCACAGGCTTAGTTAGTTACAGTACAAATTTATCAGGTTCAATTACTTCCAAATCAATAAGTTATCAGTTTGTCTTCTTTATCAAGATTTTCAAAATCCAATCTGTCCTTTCTTTCTACGGATGAAAAAAAAGAGAAAAATTCATGTCTTCAATTGATTTCTATCTTAACAAATGTGTCATCTTTTGTTCTCTTATATTCAACCTGTCAAGAAGAATCATGTCATTAGTCTCATGCTGTTTTTTTCGTAGTGAAATTTTTTGTAATATAACAAAAATTTTTCTGATATGTTTGAGGAGAGTTAAACTAATGATTTTTGTCGTGACAGAATAAATTCAGACAAAAATTTCATTTAAAAAATAAAAAAGAAAAATCCCTATTAAAAATGTAGAAGTTTTAATTAGTTAAATAATGGTTTAGAAAATTGAAAAGAATTGAAAATGTTAGGATAATGATAATTATTTTTCATAAATATTTTAATATAACAACAAGAAAATTTATTCCGGCATAAATTTTATTTTTATTATAAAAATAATAATAGCAACAATAAAAATGAGACAATTTTAACTACTCGATTATAGAAAATATTAAATTTTAAATGTTTTCAGATATTTTATTTAGTCTATAGTTATTTGTTATTTATTTTTTGAAATTCATATAAATATTGTAAAACAGCTAATTATAGTCACTAATTCTCTCATATTTCCTAAATTATTCAAAATAATTTTAAATAAATTAGAGAAAATACAGAACAAAATAATTAATAATTAAGTCATTTTAATCATATTAATAGTTCTATTATTTTTAGTTTCCCGGCTGTTATGCTGTATATAACAGAGGGAAAGTATGGCGATCGATCAAAACATGCCCCCGCAAGATTTTTACATTTATTTATTTATTTTTTTTTTTTTTTTGATGGTCATCATTTCCCTATACAGGGATCAGAGTCACCCTTGTCCCGCAAATAGCACCACAAGGGGGAACGCTTTCTTTATTCATAAATCATAATTTACATTAAGTCAATTTAAACAATAAAAAGAAATAGGTAAAACATGTATAATCGCAATGCAGCTTGCCATTACAATTATTGCGGCCACTTGCCGCTTGATAGAGTGGGAGCAACTCGCTCCTCAACTCTTTGACAGTATACTTCGCGTAAAGTTCTTTAGATCTTGGATAATATCCTTATTCCGGATCAGCATGTATAGATCTGTACAGTCTGTATTAAATGTCTGTGCAGCAACTAGGTGTAATTGCATCCTTTCATTTTCATACTTAATGCATGTTGTCAGTAGATGCTCAAGGCTCTCTATGTCATCTTCACAATCACAAATACTTTCCTGATCTTTCCCTATTCTATTCAAGTACTCTTTAGTGTTGCAGTGATTGGAGTAGAGTTGAGTCCTCAGAAAATCCACTGGCAGCCATTTAAGATCTTTTATTCTCTCCTCAATACTGGGTAGCAGCCAGTATGTGTAACGACCTTTCTCACTATACGTCCATCTCTCCTGCCATTCTTCTATGGTCTGCTGCCTTAGTTGCTTTTTGATGAAAGACAATGGGATTTTCCCATACGCAATNTTATTTTTCATAAATATTTTAATATAACAACAAGAAAATTTATTCCGGCATAAATTTTATTTTTATTATAAAAATAATAATAGCAACAATAAAAATGAGACAATTTTAACTACTCGATTATAGAAAATATTAAATTTTAAATGTTTTCAGATATTTTATTTAGTCTATAGTTATTTGTTATTTATTTTTTGAAATTCATATAAATATTGTAAAACAGCTAATTATAGTCACTAATTCTCTCATATTTCCTAAATTATTCAAAATAATTTTAAATAAATTAGAGAAAATACAGAACAAAATAATTAATAATTAAGTCATTTTAATCATATTAATAGTTCTATTATTTTTAGTTTCCCGGCTGTTATGCTGTATATAACAGAGGGAAAGTATGGCGATCGATCAAAACATGCCCCCGCAAGATTTTTACATTTTTTTATTTTTTTTTTTTTTTTTTTGTCTCAGGGAATCTTGAAATGTCGAAAAATACAAAAAATTCGGGATTTTTTCTGTGTATAAATGTTAGTGTGTATGGGGGGCACGATTTTGTTCATCCTCTTTGAAGCTTAATAACTCCTGTTCCTTTTGCCGAAAATTCTTGAAATTTTGTATGGAGGTTTGTGTATTAGGGACGGAATTGATGCTACTAAAATTTGGTAGTTAAAGGTCAAAGTGATGGGGGAGATAGACGGGGTCACGTGTGCTATCTCAAGTGGGATGGTTATTAGCATTCACAATATTTTATAAAACTTGTCTCTACCCTGAAAATTGAGCTTTTTTTACCATTTTATAATAATGTTATAAAAAGTTTCTTAATAGATGGCGCCACACGCAATTTTAACGTTTTTCCGGGAAAGTTAGGCAACTCGTTGATGAATTCGTTTTTATTTTTTAATTTACAGTTATGAAAGTAATTAAAAAAATTTAAAAGAACTTACATTAAAAATATG